GCCCACCACGACTACCAGCACCCCCACACGCATGTCCTCCTCGCAACATACGATATTATGCTCTCGGCCACTCGGCCGGGGTAGCACCACGCACCGTGAAGGCAACACGCGCACGCACCAAGTCCGTGACATTCAGGGGGGGGGCAGGATTTGTCCGCCCTCCCCCCGTGCCCAGGGCCATTGCCGGACTTGGTGCCCTTTCTCAGCATGCCGGTGCCACGAACCAGGAGCTCAATGCAATAGTGTCGACGCCAACATCGCCATCATCACCGACATCAGCATCGACACCATCATTGACACCAGCAGTCTCACCAGCGTCGACACCTCATCCGACGTTAGCGCCACAACGGGCGTCGACAGCCGCGTCGACACCAACATCGACACCAGCACCGGCACCAGCCTCGACTCCCGCACCGACCAGGTCACCGACCCCTGCACCGTTCAGCTCGCCGACTCCCTCGCCGACCATATCACCGACTCCCGCACCGACCAGGTCACCGACTCGTGCACCGACCAATTCGCCGACTCCCCCGCCGACCATATCACCTCCTCCCGCACCGACCAGGTCACCGACTCCCGCACCGACCAGATCACCGACTCCCTCGTCGACCATATCACCGACTCCCGCACCGACCAGCTCACCGACTCCCGCACCGACCAGGTCACCGACTCCCGCACCGACCAGGTCACCGGCTCGTTCACCGACCAGCTCGCCGACTCCCTCGCCTGCCATGTCACCGACTTCTGCGCCGGCCAGCTCACCGACTCCCTCACCGACCAGGTCATCGACTCCAGCGCCGATCAGCTCACCGAGTCCCGCGCCGACCAGGTCACCGACTCCCGCACCGACCAGGTCGAACAGCTCGATGACTCCGGCGCCGAGTGGCTCGCCGACTCCCGCATCGACCAGCTCACCTGCTGCCGCGCTGAACAACTGGGCGGCTCCCACGCTGATCAGCTCACCGACTCCCGCGGCGACCAGCTCGTTGACTCCAGCACCGATCAGATCGGGACCTGCCGCACCGACCAGCTTGGCGGCTCCCTCGCCGACCAGGTCACTGACTCCCGCGCCAGCCAGCTCGCCAACTCCCTCGCCGACCAGCTCGCCGACTCCCGCACCGACCGGTTCGCGGCCTGCTCCTTCATCGACCAGCCTCCCGGCTCCCGCGCCGACCAACTCATCGACACCAAGACGCCTCGGCCCCGGAACCAACAAACTGACACCAAGACGCCTCAAACCAACAAACTGATGCCAGACTCTGGCTCCCGAGGGGAGGACGAGGTGAGTAAGAAAGGTGGTTTCAAATGCAACCGCCTCCCTCGCCGCCCCGCTCACCGACTCCAGCACCGGCCAGCTCGCCGACTCCCGCGCCGACCAGATCGCCGACTCCCGCACGGACCAGCTCGCGCCGACCAGCTCGCTGGCTCCTTTGCCGACCAGGTCACCGATTCCAGCATCGCTCCGCTCACCGAATCCCGCACCGACCAACTCGCCGACTCCAGCGTCGACCAGATCACCGACTCTCATGCCGACCAGGTCGCCGACTCCCGCACTGCCCAGCTCACCGACTCCGGCGCGGTCCAGCTCGCCGACCCCCGTGCCGACCAAATCGCCGACTCCCGCACGCACCAGCTCGCCGACTCCCTCCCATTCGGTGCACGACCCTGGAGCGGGACGTTGTGCAGGCGGGCCATTGGAAGTACCGGTACACCTGTACCCGTCTCCAACCACCCATCGGCTTCCATCCTTTTCGGGAACGGCTATCACAAGAAGGACCTCCGCTACCAGCTCATCCACTTCTTCTTCTACCTGTGACTTCCGTCTCATCGGCCTGCTTTAGTGTTTTCGCTGCCTGTTTTGTTCTGTCGTCCTTTTCTTCCCTTGTCCTCTGCCGTCTCTTCCTCTTTCGCTCTGTTGGCTCCTTCCCCCTCTTTTCCCCTCCTTTGTTTTTGTCTTGCCCGTGAAGGACCAATGTGCGAGCGCCGCTGGCACTGCCTTGTAGGTGTACGCACGCGCGGGCTCCCCCTCTTCACACGCTCGCGTGGGACACTTTTGTGGGTGTTTGCGGCGAAGTCTGGAGTCGTTGACGCACGCATGAGCTGTGCATTCCCTTTGCTTGTTCCTTGCCGTTCTTTCTTCTCATTCTCCTTTTCACTCTGGCGTTTTCCTCGCTTGCTTGCCAGACGCTCCTTGGCTACACGCGGTGGCGCAGCCTCGCTGTGGTGATCTACAATACTCTGAACTCATGGTGTCATCGCTGCCGGGCGGGAAAGTAGTAGTAGTAGTAGTAGTAGTAGTAGTAGTAGTAGTAGTAGTCGTAGTAGTAGTAGTAGTAGTAGTAGTAGTAGTAGTAGTAGTAGTAGTAGTACTAGTAGTAGTAGTAGTAGTAATAGTCGTCGTCGCCGTAGTAGTAGTAGTAGTAGTAGTAGTAGTAGTAGTAGTAGTAGTAGTGGTAGTAGTAGTAGTAGTAGTAGTAGTAGTAGTAATAGTAGTAATAGT